AAATGTGTATACATTTTTTGGTTCTCCTGGCATATAGCAGGGTGTTCAACCTTTTGGCTTCCCTGGGCTGCATTGAATAAAGAGGAATTGTGAGAGGACTGCCTGAGCCCACAAGTTCAAGACCAGCCCAGGCAATTTGACAAGACTTCCTCTCTAAAAAACAAAACAAAACAAAACAAAGATTTTGTGTAGCTGGGCATGCCTGTAGTTCCAGCTACTTGGAAGGCTGAGGTGGAAGGACCGCTTGAGCCCAGCAGGTCAAGGCTGCATTGGCCATGAGCATGCCACTGCACTCCAGCCTGGGTGACAGAGTGAGACTCCAACTCAGAAAAAAAAAAGATTTTGGGGGGCCATATCACCAGCTATCCTGGTCCGTATGTGGCCCAAGGGTTGCAGGTTGGACATGTCTGATATAAAGCATGACAAAGACACTTGTTTACAGCATGAGAGCTGAAAAGAGAAGGTAGAGTGTTGCCTTGTTCAACCTTAGTTGGAAACATGCAGGTGCAGACCTGGTGATTCACATTTTTCACCATTCCTTAAGTGTCTGTAAATGACCACAGTTATTTACAGTTGATTTTGCAGTTACAAATAAATTTTAGCAAGTAGGCACATTCACAGATGTGAAACTGAACATAATAAGGATGAATACACACACACTTGTAAATTTAAATTATGAGCCGGGCATGGTGGCTCACACCTATAATCCCAGCACTTTGAGAGGCAAAGGCAAGAGGATTGCCTGAGCTCGGGGTTCGAGACCAGCCTGGGCAACTTGGTGAGACCTATCTCCACGATAAATAAAAAAAATCAGCCAAGTGTGGTAGTGCATGCCTGTGGTTCCAGCTACTTGGAAGGCTGAGACAGAAGGATCACCTGAGTCTGGGAGATTGAGGCTATGGTAGCCGTTATGGTACCATTGTACTGAAGCCTAAGCGACAGAGTGACACTCCAGTAAAAAAAAAAATTAAGCCGGGCTCAGTGGCTCAGCCTGTAATCCCACGCCTTGGGAGGCTGAGGTGAGTGAATTGCCTGAGCTCGTGGGTTCGAGACCCGCCTGGGCAACTTGGTGAGACCTCATCTCTACAATAAATCAAAAAATAAGTCAAAAAATTAGCCGGGCGTGGTAGCGCGCGCCTGTAGTTCAGCTACTTGGAAGGCTGAGGTGGAAGCATCACCGGAGCCCAGCAGGGCGAGGCTGCCACTGCACTCCAGTCTGGGCGACAGAGTGAGACTCCAACTCAAAAAAAAAAAAAAAAAAAAAAATTAAATTATGCCCTTAAAAACTTCATAGATTAAAGGAGAACTCACAATGAAAACTATAAATTTCTTACAACTAAACGACAACAGGAAAAACTACATATCAAAACTTGTCTAGTGTAGCTAAAGGAATACTTAAAGGGAAGTTAATATATTACAGTGTATTTTTTTTAAAGATTGAAAATGAAAACAAAGCTAACCTTTCAAATTCAAGAGATTTAAAAAAATAAAACATAAATGAAGTAGGACAAAAATTAATGAATGAAGAAAAAACTTAATATTTCTGCTCAACATTGTATCCTTGGCATCTAGCAAATTGCCTCTTAGTAGGTATAAGGGTTTATTGTAGAAAACTTAGAAAATAAAGCTAAGCAAAATGTATATAAAAAACCATTATCCTGCATTTCTTTTTTTTTGAGTTGGAGTCTCACTCTGTTGCCCTGACTGGAGTGCAGTGGCCGCTCCCAGCCACCGCAGCCTCGACCTGCTGGGCTCTGGCAATTCTTCCACCTCAGCCTTCCAAGTAGCTGGAACTACAGGTGTGCGCTACCACGCCCGGCTAATTTTTTGATTTATTATAGAGATGGGGTCTCGCCAAGTTTCCCAGGTGGGTCTTGAACCCACAGGTTCAGGCAATCCACTTACCTCAGCCTCCCAAAGGCGCAGGATTCTTAATGCTTTCTAATGGTTACACTGAGGCACAAAGACTAAAGAATAAGCTAAGTTCCTTCTAGGTTTCTATAGGTCCCTCTCAGTCCCCATTCCAAGTAGGAATCCTTGAGATCATCTCAGCCTTCGAAAGGCATGGGATTACAGGCTGAGCCACCAAGCCCGGCTTATTCTGCATTTCTAACAAAATGTTTCTCTCGTTTTTTGTTTTTTTCATTTTTAATATTAGAGGTGGGATCTTGCTATGTTGCCCAGCAGGCTGGTCTCAAACTCCTGGGCTCAAAAGATCCTCCCACCTCCACCTCTGGAGTAGCTGGAGCTACGGGCACGCACCACCATGCCTAACTCAGTTCTCTCAGTTTTCACTTATTGCTACTCTTTTCTCTCTGGGGGACTTAAGTCTACTGGAGATTATACCTGGAGACAAACTGAGGTATGAGACTTCTTAACCAACTCTCTCCCTAACTCTGATGGCTTTCAGAGTCACCTGCCCCAATGACAGCTAAGAGTTTTCCCCAGGAGGACCCAGGGAGGCCCAGCTCTTTCTGGACCACAAATAGGCTTCTTGTCATATTCCCCCTGGTTCTTTACAGAGTTTCCAGGCAGGTCTAAATTCCTCTTAAGCTCTAGCTGGGAGTACTGTTCCATGTATAATAGTGAAAAAATAGTGATAAAAATAGTGAAAAATAGTGATAAATCAAAATGCCCAACAATAAGGCATTTGTGATCGATTTTGTGGTACATCCATACAATGAAGTAATAGGAAGCTATTACAATTTGAATATTTAATGACACAGCAGAAAGTGTTCATACTATATTGTTCAAACGGGTTTTAAATAGTAGGTACTGTGCCATCCCATTAAAAAAAAACTATATATATATATATATATATATATAGAGAGAGAGAGAGAGAGAGAGAGAGAGCGAGAGAGAGAGAGAGAGAGAGAGAGAGAGAGAAGTTGCCAAAAAAAGTATATACATTTTAAGAAAAGAAAAATTGTAAATGAATACAAGTCACATTTGACTTCTGCAATTACAAGAGGTGCTCAAAGTGGTTACCATCAGCATCCAGACACTTCTGTTTTTGGCAAACTAAAAGTAATACATAGATAACATTGCTTAAAATGTGTATATGTTTTTTTGGCACCCCTGGTATATATATATAAAGACTAGAAGGATGTAGCCCAACATGTTAACAAAACAATGATTACCTCTGAGTAGTGGGCCTGCACATAACTTTTCTCATTTTTATTTTCTTCTTGATGCTTTCATGTATTTCTAGATTTTCTATGATGAACATTTTACTTACTTTTATTTATTTTTCATTTATTTGTTTTTGCTAATTACTAGACCCCCAGGGATACTTTTTTAAAAAGCATATATTTAGACTCGGGAGGCTGAGGTGGAAGGACTGCCTGAGCCCAGCAGGTCGAGGGTGAGGTGGCCATGAGCGTGCCACTGTACTCCAGCCTTGGTGACAGAATGAGACTCAAAAAAAAAAATTTTTTTTAAAGTATATATATATATATTTTTTTTTTTTTTTGAGTTGGAGTCTCATTCCGTCACCCAGACTGGAG